CCTGCCCAAGATAAGTATCTTTATTAACACACTATCTCTAGACTTTATTCAACCAAGAGCCCTAAAAAAGGAGAATAAAAAGTCAGAGTTTATTTCTCCTATTTTTGTCTAAACAAAGTAAATCCTACAAGACAGCAGAGCATGGAAATTTATTTAAAATGAGTAATCCACCCTGCTTTCACATAACTTACGTACCTATTTTTCTATTTAGTTTTTTTATCAACATCCTAGCCATTTGACTTACAACTTTAAATGATGCATTCTCTTTGTCTTTTTAAATCTAGCATCTTTCCAAATAACATCTGTTCATAGGATTGAGTTTTATATATATGGCTGATAGATCTTATCAGAATTTATAACCTGCATTCTGAGCCTGTTTTCTTTTTTTTTTTTTTTTTCATATTTTTTTAAAATTTCTCTATTTTTCAGCAATTTTATCAAATTTTGCATGCCACCACCTTAATTCTTTATATTTCTGAATAGCCTTCGTTCATCTACATACTACATTCAATTCTTTTTTTTATTATTTTTTCCATGTTTCATTTTAACCTGATTACTGCAATAGTTTGAATTTTATTCTTAAAATGATTACATGCATTATTGTCTTTTATAATCTGTTTCTTTCCATATCCATATGAATCTCTTCTTTTTTTCAAATCTTCTAACAATTTGATGTCATAAATAACTAGTTTGTGTTTATGAAATTATGTCATAAATAACAAAATGATGTCATAAATAACAAAATGATGTCATAAATAACAAAATGATGTCATAAATAACAAAATGATGTCATAAATAACAAAATGATGTCATAAATAACAAAATGATGTCATAAATAACAAAATGATGTCATAAATAACAAAATGATGTCATAAATAACAAAATGATGTCATAAATAACAAAATGATGTCATAAATAACAAAATGATGTCATAAATAACAAAATGATGTCATAAATAACAAAATGATGTCATAAATAACAAAATGATGTCATAAATAGTTTGTGCTGTATAATTTAGGCTTTACTTTAATTTGATTTAATCTTATGTTACTCAATAAATTTTTTTTATCATGCATTCGATTTAAAACAAAATCCAATTGCATCTTAATTCCATCTGACACCTAAGTTAAACTCTTTTGGTCCTTTTTTGTTAGCCATGTATTACAGACTATAAATCATTTATCTTAGCACCTAGCAAATCTTAGCATCTGAAAATTCTAATAACATTTTTCCTTAAAAATTTTTTCAGCTAACTTTTTCTACTACACACTACTTCAAAAGCATATGTGACTAGAATGAGATGCTTATTTATTGTTGATTACACATAAAATCAACCTTTCATCTTTTCTAACATTTTTTATAATATTACCAAAAAAAAAAATGTAGAACTCTTTTTTTTCTATTATTCTACCTATTGAGGTACATATACTGAAACTATATTAAGCACTGCCCTCCACTAGCTAATCTTATTACAATGATTCTCACTCATTATATCTAAACTAAATGATTTATTTATTCTTTTGTTACTTAAATACCAACACCTGGCACTCCATCATATAAAACCAAAAAGAAATAGTACCAACAATTATCATACTCAATAATGAGTATAATGACTATTTTGACTAATAGTGATCACCCTTCCAGTAAGTCTTGCAAGCAACATACGTCTAGCTTTTTCCTATCTGCCATTTCAGACTTCTCTCCACTTTTATCTCAGGTAAAACCCACATCGACTAATTTATTGATTGAATGTTGGATTATATTATATGTGGGTTATATACCTTTTATCACACTGTCACTCTCACCAGCAAATACAAGCCACTGATCAATGATTTATTTCTGACCAGTGAGTCACCTGAGTCAACAAACTATTAGATGTGCTAGGGTGGTGCAACATTTCAACAAATACTTTCAGGGCTACCACACAGCTCTTGAAGATTTGACGGATCACTGATATTTGGAAAAAAAATGTTTCCAAAGTGTCATGTTGGGTCTCAAAAGAAGTGAAAAATAAAAAATTTTGGGTGGAATTTAAAAAATTTAAGGTGGAACTTTATTTCAGAGTTTTTTATCTCCAGGTGAGCTGCCTTTATCACTGCTAAAGAACCTCATCTACTCATAAAGATTTTCTTTATAAGACCATTTTAACATCATAACCAGGATCCTTTAAAAAAATTTCATTTTTCATCAGTTATTTTATTTTCACTACTATTGACATTAGTTGTGATTAATATATTTCTTAGTGCAGCATTCTGCAGCCCTGCCTTGTTTGTGTTTTATAGTAAAAGGTAAGATACCAAGTTGCAAGATTTATTTAAAATGAAAAGCCTCCTCAAATGGCATCTGCAGCCTTAGGGAAGTGAAAAAAGTAAAAAAAAAAAAAAAAGATCTTAAAAGTTTAATTATGACCAAAAATAAAAAATAAAATCTTTTTAATACACATATTTGAAAATATATTTTAAAAAACTCAAAAACAAAAAAATTTGACTAATTAGGTGACGTATTGAACATATGTACATATGACAAATGTAGACGCAATTCTATCAACAAATTGAGGGGGTGAATCACCTAAAAGTACCAAGTAGCTTCTAAAAAAAAAAAAAAAGGTCCCCCTCCACACCACACACCCTTCCCCGTAAAATCGCCTCTGCAAATGAGCATATGACAAATAGAACATATATAGAAAAACAATCCTGACATATAGAAAAGGAAATATTAACATAAATTTAAATAAAGGTTTAAAACTTAGAGTTTAAAATTCTGTACAAAAAAAATATTAATTTTATAATAATGACAAATCTAACTATGTATAATAAATAAAAATACCTGTGCTCTTCAAGCTTCCAATTGAATTCATTTTTTTTCACAATATCAAATAGCTTGGCTTTATTGCCAAAAAACTGTGCAAGATCAGTTGCCAAAATACAATCACGAACAGTTGCTAACACTCTTTTATACTCACTTTGACTTAACTGAGAAAATATATTATGACCTTCATGCTAAATTAAATCAGAAAGCATATGTTTAAATATATTCTATATATAGTTTAAATATATTGTACAAATACATTTAAAATAATCCTACACACACTATTAGATAAAACAAAAAAACAAGGTAATCTAAGAAAAAATAAGGTAGTCTAAGAAAATTTGACAAAAATCAGGATTGTTATTGTCAAAAAAATCACGTTTGTTATTGTCAAAAATCAGGGTTGTTATTGTCAGGATAATGACAAAAATCAGAATTGTATTAAGTTTAAGGTCAGGTAAGGTCGTCATGATTACCCTGCTACTGATAACATGTAATCCAGTACAAAATAGCAAATGTACTGCTGGCTTGCAGGACTCCTTTTTAAATCAATTATAAGAAAAGTTTAAATCTGAAATATTTATAAAATATTCTTCTGTCTTGGAGCTCTTGATTGAGTAAAACCTAGAGATGCTGTTTCAATAAAAACATTTATCTTATCTATTTATCTTATCTTATCTATTTATCTTATCTTATCTTTATCTTAAACAGATGCAAACTGTTTCCAGAAACTTTTAGGATGCCTTATAAGCAAAGACATTAACAGTAAGCAAATTTTTGTTGAACAGCCATGTACCTTTTCCTTTTCTAATCAACAGACATAGATATAAACTTGCTACAATGTTCTTTGTTTTGAATGGTGTATGGTGTATGCATTAGTAGTCTTGCATTTATGAAAGTAATAAGGCATTACTTTCATAAATGCAAAAGCAATACTTTGTGTACCACAAAGTTCTTTACTTGGTCTTATGTTGTTTTTTATCAATATTTTTTTTTAATCTATATTATTATCAATATTACCATTTTACCACTAAAGTGGCTGATGATAGATTTTACCACTAAAGTGGCTGATGATTCATTTTCCCCTCATTCCAGTCTTGATAAAAAAGAAATTATTCTTTTTTCGAAACCTAACTTGAGTAACATTCATGCTGAATTTACAGTGTTGAAAGTTGAATTTAACGAATAAGCACTACTACTATTAACACAGAAAAATAAGTGTGACTATTTGATGTGACATATTCTAATAAACACAGAAAAATACTGATGTGACCTCAATTAATTAATATGAAATTAATATAAGTTCTTAAAAACAAAAAAATTGGAAAAAAAAAATTTTAACTCATTTTTATAAACAAAAATAAACTAAAGATCCAATTATTATTGCATTTTTTTACATCTTATATTATCTATGTTTTAATTTATCAAAATAAACCAGTAGTAAAAGATTAATTATGTTACACAAATTAATTACTTGTACTATTACTTACAAAACACAAAAAACAAATATAAAAATGTTTCTATCTAAAATATAAAAATATCCACAATATAAAAATATTTCAGAAATTACTTGGAGAATAGTAACAGTTTGGTTAAAGTGATGGTGCTCAAGTGTAGAAGTGGTGTAGACTGAGGCAAGAGGAGTTCCTTCCACCTTCATCCATTCATTATTTTTTCCTCGATGATCCAAATCATGACATAAGCAAGCCACATATAAAGCAACAGCCTATTTAATTCAAAACATCAAAAATTTGTATTACATTTGTATTATTTTTATAATAATAAATACAAAATTTGTATTTATTATTATAAAAATTTGTATTAACTATTCTTAATCTAAGCCAAGAAATTTCTTTCAAAATTTTTTACCTCTAAACCATCAATGATTCCTGCAGAAGATTTCACAACACAATACATGCAATGGGCTACAGTAAAAGCATGTGTCCAATTATGATAAGGCACACGTCGGTAGTTTTTTCTTACAGTTAAAACAAACCGTGTCAACTCAGTCAAATCAAAGCGACTAAAGCAACATTCATTTTTCAAAATTAAATTTGCAATAATAAATAATGATAAAATTAATCAAGCTATTATAAATAAAAATTAAAAAAAAAAAATCTACTTATTATAATATACTAAAAAAAAAAATTCTTATCACCGTTAAAAAAATAAAATCAACAAAAAAAAATTATACGAAATTACCTATCAGATTGAAAAAGGTCTCGAAACAAATCAATAGATATACTGGCCATTTCTAATTCTTTTAAATCAAATGCATTAAACTCAAACCTAAAATTATATAACTTAAAATAAAAAAACTTTTTTTTTGGTTTTGAAAAGAAACTATTATTACTCTAGTGTTTGTTATTGTCTTTGTTATAGTTTTAGGGTCTTTGTTATAGTTTTAGGGTCTTTGTTATAGTTTTAGGGTCTTTGTTATAGTTTTAGGGTCTTTGTTATAGTTTTAGGGTCTTTGTTATAGTTTTAGGGTCTTTGTTATAGTTTTAGGGTCTTTGTTATAGTTTTAGGGTCTTTGTTATAGTTTTAGGGTCTTTGTTATAGTTTTAGGGTCTTTGTTATAGTTTTAGGGTCTTTGTTATAGTTTTAGGGTCTTTGTTATAGTTTTAGGGTCTTTGTTATAGTTTTAGGGTCTTTGTTATAGTTTTAGGGTCTTTGTTATAGTTTTAGGGTCTTTGTTATAGTTTTAGGGTCTTTGTTATAGTTTTAGGGTCTTTGTTATAGTTTTAGGGTCTTTGTTATAGTTTTAGGGTCTTTGTTATAGTTTTAGGGTCTTTGTTATAGTTTTAGGGTCTTTGTTATAGTTTTAGGGTCTTTGTTATAGTTTTAGGGTCTTTGTTATAGTTTTAGGGTCTTTGTTATAGTTTTAGGGTCTTTGTTATAGTTTTAGGGTCTTTGTTATAGTTTTAGGGTCTTTGTTATTGTTATTATTACTCTGGTTTTAATTCTAAAATCTTATCTTGATTTCAATGCTTTTAAACTTGAAAATTTTGTACTGATGCAACAAAATTGACTTTACATCAATGTATATTGGTGTTTATTTAAAATAAAATACTATTTATAAAGAAACCTTTTACTTCAAATATAATTATAGTATTATAATATATATAATTATAATAACACAGGTCTGCAAAAAAATTCTTTTCTGTGACATGAGATATTTAAACTGATTTTTATGTATTTTTTAATGATGATTTCAAATATGAACTTTGTTTTTGCCAGCAAGTTCTAGTTTTTTGCAATTTCCAATTTTTCACAAATAAGGTTTTTTGTAAGAATTTTTATGAAAACTTGGTGACCAAATTATAAAGTGGGCATTACATACTGTGTTCCATAATTGAAAAAAGAATCTTCAAAATTGGACAAAAGGAAAAAAAAAAAATTCATGCCATGGGGACTCCTTTTAAAGTGCTCATGGTGTGGAGAGAACCACTAAACCATATTAACGATATGACAATATTTTTCTTGTCAATACCTCTGATATTGTAAAGATAAAGCAGTAAAAAATAACCAATCCCAACCGTCCTTCTGCTATTAGACCAATTTAACATTCTGAAAAGATTCTAATTCCAGTTTTTAAAGGTTTAATTTTGTCATATTATGAAAAAAGTCTGCTCCATAAATAGAAGAATTTATACCAGATTTGGAAGACTTCTTTAATGCAAAACATTTAAAAATATCTCAGTGTTTTAGTCAGATAGAGCTTAATGACTTAGTGCATGATTTAGTGGATGATTTTTGACTTTCTAAGCAAGAGCAGAGTTATTAGCCTCTTAATTAACGGAAAAAAAAAGCTTTGCAAAAGTTTCCTACTTTTGTTCACTTTTTTCCAGAAGTTCATTTATTTGTTTTCTGTAATGATATTTCAGGTCTCCTATTAAAGTTTAGTATTTATGTATGTAATCCAACAAAATGGAGACTAACTCAATAGCTCAAAGAAAATTCTCAAATGTATCCTTTTGATTTGAACAATATGACAATGGTCATATTATTTGTTCTTTACCAATCAGTCATTCTGTTTATTTGCAAGAGACTTACCATGCCATTAAAATGGTGCTTTATTTGAATAAACATCTACAACACAACTGGATTATTTGTGTAGATCTAAGAATGGTTAACTTTCTCCTTAGTCAGCAGAAAGGTTTTGCTAAATTTCCATGTTATCTATGCATGTGGGATAGTTAGGCAAGAAAGCAACACTGGGTAAAAAAAGAATGGCCTATTCGCAACACTAAATTGAATAAACCCATTGCTAGCATAAACAAAATAAAATTTTGTTTTTGCTAACAATGGGTTCATTCAATTAAGTTTTAATTTTTGATTGGTCAGAAATTTGCAACCTTATAAATGATAAAGAACTTGGTAAAACAATTGATAGCAAGGAGAAAATCATATAGTTGTCATTTGTGGATGTTACAAAAAAGTTTCTTAAAAATAAAAAAGTTGAAAACTATACAAATTTAATTAATAGAATGTTAAAAACCTTTTTTCATATTGGATGTAAAAAGAATATAAAAATTCTTTTATTTTTTATATTAAATTACTATAAATAATTTTAAATATCTATATCTCTCAAAACTCAGGAAAAGGTCTTAATCATCATCATTATCATCATTATCATCATCGGTATAGCATCCTCATTTCAATGTTTGTTAAACCTCAACAAAAAACAACAAAAAACTTATCATATTAATGTTGCACTAACTTAATTTTGAATACTATAATCACTATTGATATTTTAATTCATAATACTAATTACACAGGTGTAATTAGTACTATAAATTGAAATATCAAAAGTGATTTGACTGATACTGAAATTCAACCAGAACTGAAAACAAAAAAAATAAATATTTTTTTCTCTTAACCAAAAGTAAAAGGAAAAAAAAAATTAAAATAGACAACTAAAAACAAGACTGGAATTCTTTAGATTGACTTATGTAATTTGTTTAAAATAACTAAAATGAAAAGATAAAGAAGTTATTTAAATGTTTTCGATTAAAAACAAAGATTACTAATTAAATATTATTAATAATATTTATATGAACATTAATTTGTCATTTCAAAATAGTTGGGAAAATGATTAGTTAGAAGAAACTTTCCATGCTTTTCTTATTTACTATATTATTTAAATTGTTTTTTCATTTTTTGAAAAATTATGAAGTTTTTAGAATATTCAGGAAATCCTGGAACTTGTTGAACTGGTTGTTAATTATGGTTGTAAATTACTCCTAACTTATATCTTACATTAACATTTAACTAACTTTTATTAAAAAAATATAATTCTCGTTAATTTAAAATCATACGTAAATTATCTTTTTGTATTTCAAAACATTTTGAACTTTTCTCATAACAAAGATAAAAAATAAGAAAACTTAAACTAAAGAATATAATTGTACATCTATAAGAATATAATTGTACATCTATTTACATTTGTAAATCTAATAAAATTAATTGACTATTAAATTATTATTTAAGACAAAAGTTTTTGTTTAGTAAGTTTGGCTGAGTGTACATCAGAATTTATTGATTAAATGCAGGTTTCTAAGAAAATAAAATAACATCCATTCAACTTCTTAAAAACCTCGCAAGTAAAGAATGAATTTGATGTTAGATTTCATTACTGCAGCTGTTTAAATTTAAAAAATTAAATATAACAAAAACTGTGCAACCACCTGCTAATGTCTTCCCATTTAGTTTTTTTCTCACAGTTTCTTACAGCCCATATTTCATTTTCATTACAAGTACTATGATATGATAAAACTTCTAAAGCAACCTGAAAAATTTTATTAAAACAAGTTATTAAATATTTAAAGTATGCAGATTCATTTTTATACACATTTAACATATGGCATGGAATGCATTAAGTATATATATATATATATATATATATATATATATATATATATATATATATATATATATATATATATATATATATATATATATATATATATATATATATATGTACATATATATATATATATATATATATATATAAATATATATATATATATATATATATATATATATATATAAGTATATATATATATATATACATATATATATATACCTATACATATATATGAGAAAAAATATCTGGTGTCATATGTATGAAAAAAATATCTGATGTCATATATAATGCCATTATCGTATATGCCTACATAAAAAATGCAAACCTTATACTTTTGCTCTGAGCGGCGTATCTTGTCATAAAGCTAAAGAATATATTATTTAAAATATAAAAATCAACATTTTTACAAGATAGCATCTTGTAAAGAACCATCATCAGCAACCATATTAAAGTACAATTTTCAGCAACCATATTTATCGTTTGCATATTACTTATAAAAATTTTGCATCAGCCTTATTTTTTCAGCTATTAATAAGAATCTACTTAACTATGTTAATGTCCTTAGTTACATTAATATCCTTTAGTCACATCAATTTCCTCAGTTATGTCTTTAGTAGCAATGAGTTAATAGCAAATTTGCGATTAGCAATATGAATACTCGTTAAAATAATTTTCCTTACGTTTAAAAAAAATATATTGTTTTGTGGAAAGATATATTGTATACCTTTATAAAATAACATTTTACTAATAAATTAAAGTTTTTAGATTTCAATCATCACTATGCACACTAGGTACAAAATCATCACTATGTACACTAGGTACAAAATCATCAATTTTAATCATCACTGTACAAAATTTACTATGATTATATGTAACATTACTAAAACCCCTCAGCTACATTAACTTTAACTTTTTTTTACATTTTTTACATCAACTTTACTAAAGCCCCTCTAAGATCCAATATACCCAGGAAAAAAATTCTATCAAATTTTTATAAACTTTTTAAATACATAATCATTGAAAAAGTTAATAAAATTTTTTATAAAAATCTATAAATTTGTATAGAATTTTTTTTTTTTTTACATATATTTAAAATAAAAAAGTTTTTTGATTTTCTATAGAAATAAATAGAGTTACTATAAAAGTTCTATTAAATTTTCTACAGACCATATGTTTCAAAAGTTTATAGAAGTTCTATGGAATTTTTTCCCCTGGACAGTTATCATTGAACTAGATATGATAGAAAGTTCTAGGTGAATTATTTTATGTATGCAACAAATAATGTTAACTTTAATATTCTTTGGTTAAAAAAAAACAACTAAGTAAAGTTGTTGCTAATCACTTTTTTCAGGAGTAAAAACAAAAAAAAAAAAAAACCTTAGCATGATGAAGAGCAAGTCCACAATACACAGCAAATGTTTGAAAAGCTTTTTCATCATTAGGTGTAAACACACCTTTCTTCTTGTTCACCATTTGCACAACTCCAATAATACTAGCAAAAAAGTTTAAACAATTCAAAATATGATTATGAAAGCAGTTAGACAAATAATTGTAGTATTAAAAATAAGTTCTAATAAATAAAGTAATGAATTTAATTACTTTCCCCGGATAAATATCGGCATACATAAAAGTGAGTGTGTTGTATATCCAGTTTGTTGATCAATCTCCCTGCAAAAGATATTTTTACAGGAATATAAAACATAACATCATTATAACAAAATAAAATTTTAATTCAATTAAAACTTTTACATAAAATGAATTATTTTACATTTCAAATACATTTCATATTTATTTTTAAACTTCAATTATTGTGTGAGTACATATATGTTTATATATACACATATACATATATATATATATATATATATATATATATATATATATATATATATATATATATATATATATATATATATATATATATATATATATATATATATATATATATATATATATATATATATATATATATATATATATTTGTTACTCTACTTGGAAAAAAAATTTCTCATTCAATGCAATCTTTGACTAGTTGAAGCAAAAGACACTGATTGAGTCCTTGGAGATTGTAGTTTGTTGTTGAATTTAGTAGTTTGAGGGAAATGAAAGTTCACTTCATCAATCTGGTGAGTAAATTTGAACTGTTGGATTAGTTCACTTTTTTTTTTCTGCGATCCTTAAGTGATATTAGTTTTTTTGTAATTTTTTTTTATATGGTAGATGTAACTTATGTTAGTGTTCATCTTGTTTAGTTTTACCAAAAGAAGGGATTTGAAGCATTTTACTTTGAAATAACAACAACACTTTTGCAAAAGATATTTCTTGAAATAATTCTATTTTAACATATCATTTCATGAATGTTGATCACCAAAATTAAATGAAAATATTACGCCATTGTTTGTATTGTTTTTTAACTGTTGAAAATCAGAATATAACAATAACAAAAGTAATTAAAAGTAACAACTAAAATAAAAGATAAATTGATATTTATAATAACAATATTAATATGATACTTTTAAAGTTTTTAAAATTATTTTAAATTTTAAATTTTATCATTGAAAACTTATTTACTTCTATTTAATTGTTTTTTTATTCAAATTATTTTGTTGTATAAAACTTTTCCTTATTTATAGTAACTCATAGTAACAAATATAAGTTATAATAACAATAACAAAAAATTATAGTAGTAACACTAACTATAGTAACAAGTTTTAGTAACTATAGTAACTATACAATATAACAAATGTAATAAAAAGTATAGTATAAAAACAAATCAATTAGATGTTAAAACAGAAGTAATGGAAAAATATATAAAAATATGTTAATATAAAATAAAAAAAATTTATTTTTTCTTAAAATAATTTTTATATAAAACATAAAAACTATAAAAAGAAGATAATTAAGAAGAAAATGTCAAGTCTTAAAAAACTGTAAAAAAAGCCTTGAAAAACTGAAAATTGTATGAGCCAAGAAACCCAAGAGAGAATTCCAAAGCACCAATATTTGATATAATATTCGAGGGGAAGAGTTATACCAATAAAAGTTTTTGAGCACGAGAAATAAAAGGAAGCAACTTAGCTGAATGGTAAACCATGCAACATTTAGTTTTAATTAATGAAACAAATAATAACAGCTTACTTGCAAAGTAACCATGGCAGTATTTGCAGAAAAGAGAAAGAAATGGCTGTACAAAGGCTGTAAATGAACTTAGCAACTTTAAAATGCATTTTTGGACCTTGCCAAAAAGAGTGAGGGCATCATTATAAAAACCAGCTTAAATATGACATTAGTGTTTAATGAATAATAATAGAATCAGTAGTAAAAAAATAGTATAAAATAAACAATACACAATAAAGAAAGACAACCAGATGCAATCTTTGCAGTGGGTTGCATATATATATAGGGTTCTTATAATAGGTCAGTTGGTAATAATGATAATAGAAGATAATATAAAGTAGTATATGTGGATTTTCTTAGTGTGTTTATCAATAATTAATTAGTAGTAAATAACTGGCATTTGTTTGGATTAAAAAACTGCATACTATGAGCAGTCAGATAAGAAGAGTCAGAACTGAGATCGGTTGCCTATTCTAAGTGATCAAAGTGATGACATTTTGTCAATACTAAAGTATACAATTGTGTCATCAGTAAATGATGTCAAGACTAAAGTATACAATTGTGTTATCAGCCACTTTAGAGGTTAGATTATCAGAAAGACCAGATGAGAAACAACACAGAACCAAAGATGAAACCTTGTAAAAAAACCTTTGATGAAAAGAGTACTTTTAAAACTGCCACTGAAATTAGGAATTTATTTTAAAACTATTTTTAAAACTATTAATTTAGGAAACCTCACTACCAGCCAGCATTCAAATTATTAATTTTAAAACAATTAATTTAGGAAACCTCACTACCAGCCAGCATTCAAATTATTAAACTGAGTTTTAGAGCTGAAGCCTTATTAAGAAATAACAGAAAGAGTTGCATAACCACTACCAGGGAGGAACAAGCATAACTAGAGTCAATAAGATTCATTGTTCATCATCCTAGACAAGAAATACAAATTTACATCTACACTAGCTAATTAGATAAAGAAGGTCTGGGTCCAAGGCACAGGTTGTCTGATTGCCAATGCAGAGGGATATTTTCAACCAGTGTTAACTTCTCCTAGTCTTTTCCTGGAAAATAAAAATCCTATAAGGCAACAGGAGATGAGGCAGGTTGCACTGGATTACATTTTATAGCAGGATGATCATGATGATTTTTTATACTGATCAGTATTTTTTGACTAATTTCTTCTATGTATCAAATTATTTCTGGCTGAGCAAAACTTTTCACAAAGGTTTGTTTAAACTGCTTGGCTGAAGCTTATTTTATTGCTTTGAGACAGATCAAATACAGAAAAGTAACTTGCTATGTTGGATGTTGGTAGAGTTTCACTGCTTTTTGACCCTGTACTTATTTTTTCATAAACCATATTCCAAACAAGTTTTACAAAACCAACCTTATATTGTTGCTGAATACATGACAAAAATACTTCTATTTAATTTGAGTTTTGAAATAAAAATTAAAAAAATGAATTTTTAAAAATCATTATATTTTTCAATAAAAAGCTTATTTTTTATACATTGTCTTCAAATTGAGTTTTGAAAACAATTTTTAATTAATTCTTTTAAAACTATTGTTTGGTTAGTAACCAACTATCTTGGATAGTAACCAAATATCAATTTTAAACTAGTTTACTACATTAGATAAATGTGGTAGTGGTATAGTAGTAGAGCGTTTGCTTCATAAGCAAGAGATTCTGAGTTTGATTCCCACCAGGTTCCAGGTAGTACCGCACTTAGCTTGTTTCTCCGCACAGCGGCCTCATTCATCAATGTTCATGTTTTGGAGTTATAGAGTTGAGAGATGGTTATAACCACAATTAAGTAGCCTTCTTGTTTGTAGTGGCCTTCCTGGCCTTGGTGAGATAAATTTAAATTAAAAAAAAAAATTCCAACATACTATTATATTTGAATTTTTTCCTAACAAAATAAATTGCTAATGTTAACAGGAAATATGTTATGTGCAAACTATTGCATTAGAAAAAGTTATTTTTTGGTTATCATAATACTTTAAAAACAAAAAAAGGTTTTAATACTTTTAAATGCATAGGTATGTATGCATGTATGTATGTATGTATGTATGTATGTATGTATGTATGTATGTATGTATGTATGTATGTATGTATGTATGTATGTATGTATGTATGTATGTATGTATGTATGTATGTATGTATGTATGTATGTATGTATGTATGTATGTATGTATGTATGTATGTATGTATGTATGTATGTATGTATGTATGTATGTATGTATGGGTAACATCAATATTTATATTAACATTAGTTACAGTTTTATAAGCATATATACAAATTTATAAACATGGTTACCAGTTATTCAAATGGTAAACATGAATACCTGTTGAAACGAGGATCATCATAAGCTTTCTTTATGTTCAGTGTTTCACCTGTTGTAGCAACATAACCAGCAACTCCTTTTGATTTAGGAAACCTAAATTTTTTAAACATAGAGCTGTTTTGATACTGAAAGTTAAAAATACTGCATTATTACCAAAATAAAAAGTAAAAAAAAAACAATAACAAAATGAAATAATTAAAAACCTTATTTCTTTTCGAAGTTTAGTATCCAATCCTATTCCAATATCAAAAATTCTTGCATAGAGTTCTTCTGTTTTGGTATCAACCAAAAAAAGAGAAGTTCTATCAGCATCAACTAATGTCTGGGCAAAGTTCTAGAAAAAAAAATTGAAATAATATTAGTTCATTTACTTATCTAAGAAGAAAAAAAAATTAATATATGTCTGTGTTCGCACTTGTGTATGTGTGTTTGCACTTGTGTATGTATATTTGTATTTTTATACCAGGACTTATGATAAAGTAGAAGCAATAGCACATGAAAAACAGTTTAAACATTCAAAATTTCTAGATGCAATAAACTCATTAAGATTAGGAAGAAGAATAAGACAACATTAATATCTTATATCAATTTAAAAAGCTCATATTTAAAATATTTACTAACATCACTCATTAAAAATTTGCACAACTGTATTATTTTGTTTTCTGATTTGTACAAACAAAGTAAAATCATTACTTCTAATTTGTAGAATGAAATGTTTTTAAAAACTTTTAAAATGTATTTTTCACTATTTGGTAACACATAAACTTGAAAGAATGTTTGTAATATGTTTGTATACTCATTGTTTGTAATTAAAACTCATAAAAAAATTAACTATTTTTTTGTCTGAAATTAATTTGCTTAAGATGCCTCTCAATAATAAGTGTACATCATCATGCTGATTAACATTGAATTTCAAATTTACGAACGTAAAATAACACTTTGAACATATTTCCTTATCATAAAGGTTGTTATGCATATACTTTCATGAATATAACTTTAATTGTATTAATATAATTTATAACAAGAGCTATCCAAGCAAAAAATATCTACAGTAACCTGGACTATAAGTTTAATCTTTTTGACCATTTTGGATTATTGATTTATCACTGTGTAAGACAAATAGATAATTCAACACATATTGAAAGTTTTAATAGATATAACTAAGTTTGTTAAACCCCAAATTTGAACATTTACAATTGAAAAAACACATACCATAATTTTCATAATAACTTTATCCATACTAACGATATCTTGAAATATAGATCTGAAATTTGAAAAAAAAATTTTATTTTATATTATAACAAAATTATTTTATCATTTAAACAATTAATGACAATATTACATACATACATACATACATACATACATACATACATACATACATACATACATACATACATACATACATACATACATACATACATACATACATACAATTTAAAATAACTAAATTTGTATAATTTTAAAATATAAGATAATTTACATAATAAATTACAATATTGTAAATTAAATACAAACCTGGTTACGCTTAATAAAAAATCATTAAGTTTTCTTTGTTTCTGCATGCCTTGAAACATCTAGTAATTAAAAACAGATAGAAACAGAAAACAAAAAAGTTTTTTTCAGAAACCATATGTTATTCAAAGCAAATAAAAATATCTCAGCATAATGAAGCAACTAAAAATACCTCAGCATAATGAAGAGCAATTCCTCCCCATGCTAAATATCCATTCACAATCTGAAAAATACATTTATGTGAATTAATAAAATTATGAAAAATACAAAACATTAATCTTTGACAAATAATGTTTTAAGAAAATATTTTACGACATTAGATAAATTGAAAAATATTGAACAACTGTCCACACAGTTCAGCTAAGTGAAAAAAAATGGCTTCCACAAATTTAGCACTTATCTTATGTAAAAATACAAAGGTTTTTAAAGTGACTTAAAGGGTGTTTAAGGCAATTAAAATGATGTTTAAAACAGCTAAATTGGTGTTTAAAGCTGCTTAAAGAGTATTTAAAGCGATTTAATGGGTGTTTAAAGCATCTTAATTGGTGTTTAAAGTGATATGGGAATTTAATATAATTTATAAATATAGATTGCTGTTTTAAAAAATGTCAAAATTTTGATTTAGATAATAAAAGCAAATTAAACAAAATTAATATTCTTTCCAAAAACTTTTAAATTCAAAATTTAAACAAATTTAAATGGTGCATTATTTGTTTAAAATTTTTTTTTTAATATTTAATCAAAGTTTTAATTGAAGTCAATAAATTTTTTTGTAATACCATTTAAAAAACTGCATTTTTTAAATATGTCTAAAACATAAATGTAGAAACATGAACATTAAACTTTGAAAAAAATAAAAAAAATAAAAATTATTAAAAATGGTAACGTATGGTTATTAAAAATGGTAACATTCTTTAATTAATTAACATAAAGTGTTTTAAGTAAAATTACAAATACTTTTTCTCAAAATCTCTTCTAAAAAAATAAAACTATAAACTAAACATATTTAACTTTATTAAAATTACTTGTTCACGCTATATTATTATCATTGCTAATATTATTATTATTTTTATTATTATTATAGTTACTACTACTATTGTTAAAGAATATTTATACTTTACTTGGTTATCTTTTTCAGTAAATGCTTGTGTACCAAATGCACGATTTAACTGTAGAATACCTTTAACAAAAATCTTATAATAAACTGAGAAAAAAAGATAATAAAAAAGATTAAGGAAAAAAAAAAAATGATAAAAAGATGATAAAAAAGAAATGTTAAAATTATTAAAGTAACAAAGAAATAATAAATAACAAAAAAAAGATTAAGGAAAAAAAAAAAAAATGATAAAAAGATGATAAAAAAGAAATGTTAAAATTATTAAAGTAACAAAGAAATAATAAATAACAAAAAAAAAGAGTAATATCAATAAACAAATAATAAGATAATATAAATAAATAAAATCAACTCAAAGTGATATTAATATAGTAATACTTAAATAAGTAAAATAAAAAAAAAAAAAAAATGCACCTGCTAAATCGCCATGTGGAAGAATAATAGGCGAGCATAATATAGAAGCAATGTTTTCATCTATAAAAATTTATCAATTTTATTAAAACTTGATTTTGTTATAAATTGTTGACAATAGCAAAGACAAGTAAAACATTTATGAAAGCTGAGGATCAAGTTGTTTTATCAATAAAAGTGATGACAACTTCACAACTTGAGCCTCAGCTTTCAGGTAAATATTTAGTTTCACCAACAACAAATACCTTTCTTAAATAATAAAACTTTTTGTTGAAATTAATAAAACTTTGCAAAAAATGAGTTGGGTTTTCATGATTTTT